TGCCACTGACAAGGTCTCCTCAAACACATTCACTTCAAATAGTCAAAAGACTACATTGTGGAGGAGACAAAGGTCAGATACTCTCGTACTGACGATGAATCTTGTGTGGTCATGTGGTGTTGATAAGTAGCCCGATCACGGATGTCCAAAAGTTGGGCATTCCAAAAGGGCTCAGTCATGCGGTCCTCATCGGCCGCATACTCTGGTAAGAACCTAGCCAAGGTCCTGAACTCCTGCTGGAGTTGTTTCACCGTGAACCCTTCTTTTCCCTGAGGTTGGTATACTCCTGCCTCTTCACATTAACTTCAAAGGCGAAGAGGTATTGATCATAGAACTCCTGCTCGAAGTTTTCCCATGAAACAGCCCAATGATATTTTCCTTCTACACTTTCCCACCATGTAGAAGCTACCCCCTCAAGCAAATGTGAATCAACACGTAGCTTCACGTCGGGTGTGTTTTGCATATCTCTCACCGCGTCTTTTAGCTTCTTAATCTAATAAGTGGCAACAATAATGTCTTTGTTGTTGTCGAAGGATTTACACCCCAAGGCTCTAACCTCTTTGAGATATTTGGAGATTCTAACACATAAATCTCCTCCCTGTCCGCCTTGGGACGTTCCTGAGGCGGCCCTAGAAGCTCCCCGGCTTCCATATCATGACCCGAGCCTCCTTAAGAGGCACACCTAGCTTGGTGTCTTTGCTCCCATCTTTGCCTCTCCCATTGGTACCATGCACTCAAGTACCTCCCTCAGTTGTCCAAATCGGACACCACCGTCTTCGTCATCAGTATTAAAATCCCCCCATCATATGGGGTCTCCTCATGTCCCGTCTTTGGAATATAAGTCTCATCTTCTTCCCCGGTGTTTGTGTTGTATATAGAGCTCGCGTGGCCATCACTCACTGTTTGGCCTTGGCGGCCCCCTCCGTTTAAACAACATCACATTTAATCAAATGAATAACAAAAATATTCCACGTTTAATCATGGGCCACATCCGGCCATAACATGGGCTCGCAGGTCCAAAACAGTTTATAGAAGTTTAAATATTCATGAGAATTGCTTAAAGTTTCAAATCTAAAAAGGAAGCACGAACCAATTCTTCCTTTAATTGACTTCACCCGTGCAAAGGTGCGGGCTGCAAGCTTAAGCTTCAACCTGAAATGGTGAGGGCCCCCGAAGGGGCAGTACACTTGTACTTGCGAGAAGCAAGCTAAATGTAGAATAACTAATGTTTTAAGTACAAGACCCAAACGTAGGGTGATACATAAACTTATAATTCCCCCCCAAGTCTTGAAATACATATAAGTATATACACTTGGAAAATACCGGATCCGTAGGTCATTTTTTTACTTTGGAAATCATAGTAGTCATAATTCTTGATTTATAAAACCCGAACCCATCAAATGCCCATGAGTGTATATGACTCCTCCTTGTTCAATCAAGTACATTAAGGACACCGCCCGGTCCTGGGTTACTAACCCGTATTCTATGTGTTTTGAGGAGAACCCTGTCCCTAGATACTTGTAACGCCCCAAAATCCGGTTAAATTGTTAGGTTAGATGTGAATAAATTTATAGTATCAATATAAATAAATAATTATATTTCAATCAAAAAAATTGGTAAATTTCTTCCTAATTATTTCTTCCTAAATTTACTAAATAAGAAGCTCTTAGTCTTATCTTATGAAAATTCCCACCGTACATAAATATAAGAATTAAGATTTAAAAAAAAAGTTAAAAAGCATAAAAAGTATTATCATTTACATAGTTCCTTGATGACTAATACACTTAAGGAACTTGGAAGAATAGTAACACATCAAAATTATATCCTTGTCATTAGACACTTGGTCTTAATAAAACAATTTTTAAAATGACAAGGATTATACATGATGGTCCAAATTGACTATATAAATAGATGATGCTCCTTCATTAAGTTTTAAGTAACAAATTTACTAATATATCCAAGAGAAGAGGATTTTCAGATAAATTTCATCTATAAGGTCAGTACGTTTCCGCCCCATTTAGATTAGTATGTATCTTAATATTGTTATGTTAAATTCCGTCCCCGTTTCTTGTTATGTTATGGGGATGATGGACATTATATAATTTAGGGATATCTTATGTGTTTCGAAATCTGTAAGTATAAAATTATTATTCTCAATCTGTTACTATCGTAAAAATAGCTTCTAAAACTCACTGAACGAAACCCAATAATCCGTAGCTCAGATGATATGTTTTTATAAATAAACTTAACAATACGTCATTCATGTAAATGATAGAGTATATAGTTGGTTAAACATAATGTTAGTGCCTTAGCTTTATAGCCTACATGTATGCATCAGCTCATATCCATGCATATATATATATATATATATATATATATATATATATATATATATCCAAGAGAAGAGGATTTTCAGATGAATTTCAGCTCATGTGTGATCTCTCTCTCTCTCACACACACACACACATATATATATATATATATATGTGTGTGTGTGTGTGTGTGTGTGTGTGAGATCACATACAAACCATGCTTAACTTACTAACCTACAAACTCAATAATATGCAATACTTTGAACTTCAATATGCAGTACAAATAATGTAAAGATGCACTCTTTGAATTTCAATATGCAATACAAATAATGTAAATATGAAACTGTTATTTTCTGGCTTGAATATTATGAAACACTTTGATCTTCAATGTGCAATACAAATAATGCAAAGATGATTTGAATGGGATGACTACTTTGTATGTGATCTCACCCCTGCATCTTTACATTATTTTTACTGCATATTGAAGTTCAAAGTGATGCATATTATTGAGTTTGTAGGTTAGTATTTTAAGCATGGTTTGTATTTGATCTCTTATATATATATAGATTTAGGATCATATAAAAACACCTCTTATCATGAAAAATGAGAAGTCATCTCATCCATTTAATTTCTTACGTAGGTAAAAGGATGGCCTTGATTTGAAGCATTGCGCATGGGGTATTATTGTCCTTCCAAATTATTTCCTTCCGTTTTACCAAAGCTCCATAATGGTAAGTGAATTTATTTTGCTCCTTGATTAATAACTTGCCGTTTTTTTGTTGATTAATAACTTTCCGTATTACATTCATCATCTTCCATCGGCTTATTCATTTCCATTTCTGCCGCAGGCTTGTATCTTCTTCTGCTCTTAACATTATTACGTACGATCGCCCAAGCTCAACCCAGGTATTATTACGTACGATCCTTTTTATTTTATTTTTAATTTGTTTTATATGTAACTAATATTTGTTTTGTTTTGAATGCATTACGTACCAAATTACGTGGCTGTTCAAGACTTCTACCTAATCCTAATAAAGATCATATCATCTCTCCTTTGTATCCTATGTTATTCAAAGTGTTATTGGGTATCCTTTAATGGAGAACGGTATGTATGTTATTTTAGTGCACTACTTTTATATCATTTGAAGTTGATATTTGATTTGTTAATCTTTTTTTACGTTTTATCACTCATGCAACGTCGTATGGTCTATCGTTTTCAACTTTCTTAATCCGGACTATGTTCCTTCTTTTTTTGGCCCTGTACATTGTCTTTTCTGGTGTTTTGTATCCACCATTTCAATTTTGTAATGCACCATTGCTCTTATTTATCTGCACTTAAATGTCACCATTAGTCACTCCCGCATTTTGTGATTAAAAAATGTTCTCATGATTGTGTTTTCTTTAATTTTTTTAATGATAATCCCAAATATTCTATACATGCAGACTCCTGTGTTCACTCTTCTTCTGCTATTTTCTCCAATAATGACACTCCAATTTCACCTACATCACCCGATATTTGTTCTAAGTTGCAAATATCACCCGGTAAGACCAAATATTGGATTCCCAATTGTAATGATCATGTGAAGCCGTATATTGGTCAGTTTTTTAAAAGTTTGAAGGAGGGTATTGCATATTATAAGGAGTATGCTGCAATTACTGGTTTTGGTATTCGCCTCGGTACTTCTTCAAAAGATAGGGATGGTACATTAAAGTTGAAGTATGTCGTTTGTAGTAGAGCGGGGTTCAAAGAGAATGTAAATAGCCAAACACCTCAAAATGGAAATAGTCAAACACCTATAAACTACCCGGTGGCAGGACAAAGCAACCAACCTGAGGATCCCAATCCAAAAAAGAGATGCCGGTTATCCAATAGAGTTGGATGTAAAGCGCGCATTGCTTTCAAATTTTGTGGCCTGCGTGGATACTCAGTGTTTGGCTTTGAAGAGCGTCATAATCATCCTATGACATCTAATTTAGCGAAACCATTTTTGAAGGTGAACAGGAGTTTGGATATTGGCCACCAAAAGTTCATTGTGAACTGTACAAAGGCTAATATTGGCACCATGAAATGTTATAGATTATATAAGGAATCCGTTGGTGGATATTCTAATATCGGTGCAACGTCCGTTGACTTAAAAAACTTTAAAAGGGATTTGAAGGCATACATTGCTGGTGTGAATGCACAAATGCTAATTGAGAAGTTGTTTAGAAAAAAAGAAGTTTGTTCCGCCTATTTTTTTAATTATGACGTAGATGAAAATGACCAATTGACTAGGCTTTTCTGGTGCGACCCGACTGCTAGGGTTAACTATACCATGTTTGGTGATGTTGTTTCGTTTGATGCAACATATGGCACAAACAGGTAACATATTTTTTAATCGCATGTTGTTATCATATTATTTTTTGTAGATCCACGATGTCATTCCCTTAATGCACTGTTTACAAACATGACTGCACTTTTTTCCCACCTATGATCCACTAGTAAACTGAATCGGAAAACAGTCTCTTTTACTTACACAAACATGCTCCTGTACACAATTAAATATTTTAAAACCATTTTTATTTTTTAATTTCTGTATACATGTTATAGTTTTATATAAATGATCTGGTTTTAATGAATTGTATCATATTCATGTAGGTACAATATGGTTTTTGCTCCATTCACAGGTGTTGACAATCACAAGAAATGTGTCACTTTCGCAGCTGGGCTATTGTTAAAGGAGGACGTGGAATCATATGTGTGGATTTTTAGACAATTTCTTGATGCAATGGGTCGTGAACCAATTTGTGTCATCACGGATCAAGACCCATCCATGAAAATTGCATTCACTAAGGTGTTTACAACATCTGTCCATCGCTTTTGCATGTGGCATATAATGTCTAAAGTCTCATCCAAGGTCGGCCCTATTTTGAGTAAGAATTCTGAATTCATGTCTAAGCTAAACTATGTTGTGTGGAGCCACTATCTAGAACCTGATGTGTTTGAGAAAAAATGGACCTCCATAATGGAGGAATTTGGATTGCAAAATCATGTTTGATTTTCAAACATGTATGACATCCGCAAGGATTGGATTCCTTCTTATTTTAGGGATTTGTACATGGCGGGATTACTTCGTACAATATCCAGATCTGAGAGCGAGAACAACTTTTTTGGTGAATTTTCCAATCCTCACTTTAGCCTGGTTGAATTCTACATGCAATTTGAGAGTGCCATGGATGCACAACGGCACTCTAATGCAAAACTAAATGCTGATTGTGAGTCTTACTTTCCAACATACAAGACGCCACTAGCTATCGAACGATATGCCGCAACAGTATACACACTCACTATTTTTTCAGATTTGCAGTCTGAGATTTGTTCCACGTGTTTTTCATGTCATGTTACAAGCCTACGCGAGAACGAAGATTGTTTGGAGTATTTGATCTCTAATGAACGTGGTTTGAGATTTACTGTTCATTGTAAATCGGATGCCACTAATTTGACGTGCAGCTGCAAATATTTTCTATGTCTAGGTTTGGTTTGCAGGCATATGTTCGTTGTGCTCAAAGATTTCAAATCTGAATGCATCCCAGCTGATCTCTTAAACACACGCTGGTTTAAGAAAGGGTGTATAAAACCATTGTTTGATATCGGTGATGCAGTGGTTCAACAAAGTGCAGCCTTGGAGGAAAAGAAGTTTGTTGTTAATCAATTGTGGTCTGATATTCATTCATGTGTTGCAATGGTAGAAAATGATCCTTCTCTGTTGCGACAGTTTGCATCACTGATCACACAAAATAAGGAAATTATTGCATCTACAATGCAAGATGCACAATCTTTAACCAACAAAACTAGTGTAATTCAGTCCTTTTTTGGCTCCTCCGCACCCACTTCAGTGAATGTTCTTCAACCTCCTCAAGCACACAACAAAGGTTCGGGTAAGAGAATTAAAGGTGCTAAAGAGTTGGCTGTTGCTCAGAGCCAACGTGCGAAGCGGTTGTGTAGAAGTTGCAATGAAATGTCATATCATGATAGTAGAAATTGTCCAAAGAATAGTGCTCTTTAAGAATGTTTCAGTTGCATGTTTTAAATTCATATGTTTACAATTTGCATTTCTCGGGATTACTTCAAATTTTTTATCAACCATTAGTCCAAATAAAGATTATGACTTTCACAATTCAGTTTCATGTATTTTCCGCACACTTCATTATATCTATTTCATATGTCATTGTTGTTTTTGTCTACAATTGTTTTTGTTTTAAAAAATCAATCCAATAAGTAGTATTACCATAAATCGACCTCACCTCTTAAAAACTTGATTCACGTACCCAAAATTTTTGATTTTAAGTAATTCGTATTGTGCTTTTATTAAAGCATTTTATTCTTTTTTAGGTTCACTTTTTCGAACTCCACTTTAATACAATTTAATGGCATAAACCATCAAAACCATAATCTGAATTTCCGTATTCACAGGACATTAACGTGTAATTTCCTGCATTAGAAGTGTGCGTACTATTCATTCATTTAAATAACACATAGATTCACTGTTATCTTAGTACTATGCACTTATACATTACTAGTAAAACCACATCCATCCAGCTAGTTCAATCCACACAGTCTATACTCCAACATAAACTCAGACAAATAATTGTTAACGAACCATATTAGTATGAGTTCACATGTTCCATAATAGCAAAAATTAAATGAACTTCATAAATGTTTTAAGACACCAACAAACAACCAAAAACATTAATTGTTTTGAAAACGCATAAATCACTTCTTAGACTTCAACTTTGCATACTCTTTTGCCTTGATTAAATTCTCAGTCTTCAGCTCATTTATGTCTTCCAGTAAAACAACAGCTGCGTATTTAACCCTTAGTCCTAATATCTGCTTCTGGTCTTCATGTCTAAGTCCACAATCCCACCCCGTCAGTCCTTCGCCTTTATACGTCTCCATATGACGCATTGCAAACACCCCATAATCAATGACATTACTCGTATCCCTCCAAGACATGGAAACTCGGGTTGGTTTTGTCTTGGACAACGGTGCTGCTGTGTTCTCCATTCCTTTTGCTTTCAAGTACTCCACAAATGCCGACACCTGTAATTGATTAAATTATACCAAATTACTAACCATTTTCTGAAATACTAATTTTCAAAAAATCATATTGTTCTGAAATACTTTTCTTACCACAGCTGCTGGCATTTCTTCATATTTTTCCCTCATTGAGACTCTAGCAGATGAGTTATCTAATATGTCTATTCTCTTGCGCTTCAGATTCACGCAAATGACATAACAATGCCTCATTTGCATTATAGGGAAAAAGAACTGCACAATCAACGAAGAATATTTTAAATGTTTATGATACACTTCTACACTGTACAGTAAAATTTATCACTTACTAGATCTATTTTGTCCAGGTCAACATCCTGCCTCACCACATCAAGTCCAAACTCCACTGCATCAGTTAGTATGTTATATACCTCCTCCTTTGTTTTCACCACCTCATCAGCCATTGTGTACAACTACAGTTCATTACAAGCAATTACACAAACCCATATAACATTATACATCTATTCTAATCACACGTATCACTTACACAATTCATTGTCTTTGCAAATAAACGAGAAGGCGAGAAGGTGCTCCTATTTCTCTCTCTGTAGTTTAGAACACCCGCGTGACATTGTAGTCCTTATATTTGAACACTTTCTCTTTCCCGTGCATTTAAACCATCACATTTTTTGAATTACTATTTACTAAAAAAAAGTACTTACATGTCAGCTCCTTCCCCTTGCAAAAGCCACCTCGCCATCTCCCGCTCAAACATCTTTGTAGGTTCTGCTGCATCGATCACTCTTGACACGTATGGTGACTTTAGGAACCGTGTTGTCTTTTGCTTTCTCTTATGTATCTCTTCTGCAACATCAGCCTGTTTTTTATCCCCTTCCTCTTCTATATTCACCTTAACACATACAAAATTACACAAATGTTGTCAATCAATCACATAGTTCACACGCAATTCAAATTTATATTGATATCTCATTTTGTTTAATGAGATTACTCTATATCCACATTCAATTACTAATCTGCTATTTTTACTAACCTTACTAATGTCCTCGTGATGCGTATGGTTTGGAATGACATGCTCACCATCACCATCCGGTTGTGTCAAGCCTATATTGAAGCTAGGCACGCCACTTATTTTATCATTGTCATTTGCCTTTTGCACGAAAGCGTTGGCGACGTTGTCAAGCGTTGAAATATTCACCGGGTTCGACCAGAATGCATCAACCTCGTTAATCACATTTGTTTGCACCCCAGTTGGTGTGCACTGATCTCTGGTCAATGTGTTAAGCCCCAGCAATTTGTTCGCAGAATCTAGCACTTTAACAAAGTCCTCACTACCCACTACGGCTTCTCGTGCCTCTTCAAACATCAACATTATGTCACTTGTAGCTTGAACAAGTACATTTGTTTTTTTGGCAAACTTCACCATCAAGTCCTGCTATTATATGTAATATTAAAGTCAGTTCATGCTACTTTTAATACAAATCATACACTTTTAGCACCTATCAACTTTAACTTTTACAATAAATTCATATAATGGTACCTTTAATACAAATCATACCTCACCCAAACTTTCTTCACACTCCATGGCAGCCTGCTGCCTTGTGTTGCCATATTCAAACTCTTCATCACTGCATTTCCTTTCTTTCTTTACAGGGCCGTCCACATCCCCAAACCCAAAGCCTCCTGATTTCACTTCATCATTCTCCCGATCCCTCAAAAGTCTTGTTGTCCATCCTTTGATTGTTGGACACATCCGGGGAACCTTTCTTTTATACAGAACTACTCTGTCCACATAAAACATCTGCACCAAACATGTCAATGTCATTATTTGAAACCACATTATTTTTCATTTTAATATATCTATTCAATAACTAATTTATTTTAAACCTAAATGTGTCTTACCAGCAAGAATAGTAGTGGTCCAGTGTAGCTTTTGTTGATATTACTTTCCCATGTCCTTTTGTTTTCTATCAAACAACTTATAACATAGTCACACCAATTAAGCTCTTTAATGCCCTTCACATCCTCTAAATTGTTCAGAATTAACGGATTGGCGTACCCATTCTGTGTACTATCCACCAAAAGGGACACCACCAGAACCAAGAAATGACGCACAAACCAGTCACCGGCATCTGTACACTTCATCATTTCACTGCAGACCACCGTTGGTGTAATCAAGTTATCCTCTTTCCCAAACATTCCTCTCCATTCGTGTAGCAGTGCACATTCTTCTCTTTTTTTCTTCTTTTTAATTTCTCTCCCTCCATTAGGAAATCCCAAAACTCTCTGCACGTCTTTCGCGGTGATTTTCACCTTACTCCCATCTGCCACCGTTATCTTGCCATCGCGAGCATCATAATGTTGCACTACCCAGAAACTCAATGTTGAGGGTAATTCCAAAATATCAAGATGCAATAGACCTCCAAACCCAATCTCTTTTACGGCAGCACGCTGCGCTTCATTCATTTGCTTCACTGCTTGCGACAGCAGAAATGGTGATGATCTTGTTCTCATTTGTTTGAATTTTGACTTCAAATCCCGCAGTTTGTGTTGCTTTTTGATCTTCCCACCAGTTTTTGATCCAACATTATTCCCTCCAACCTTCTCCTTACATATACGCATCTCTGGACCCTCAACAAAATCATCATCAGTTGAATTATCAACTCTTTCCACGTAATCGCTATCTGTTTCATGTTCACTTTCACAACTATCATTCTCGTCCTCGTCAAAGTTCAATCTCTTTGAAGTATTGCAAGTTGCACTTCTACTTTTTCTTTTGTATTTCGCATTCACACACTGCACTTTCATCCTTTTTGTGTTCTTTTGCGCAACATGTACTGGATTTTTCTTCCTCTTTGTAATCACTCTTGTTGCTTCCTCCACACCTGTATACATTATACATATATTAACGTGAGAACTTGTATAGAAAAGTTTTGCACATCTAATAACTACATGTACACTTTAACATAACACACACTATGTGCACTAAATCACTCTCCAATACCATTCTTCCATTGAACGTGTCTGTACACTTTTTACAACGTCATTACCAGCTCAAATTGTATTACTCACTGCCTCATATTATCATTAATAATTTCACTTTTTCAAATTAAAAATTTATTTTTTCCATTCCCAAATAAACTTTTACATTTCTCACACTGTTCACTAATTCAATCTCCAATACCATTCTTACTTTGAACGTGTCAGTTCACTTTTTACAATTTCATTACCACCAAAAAATGTATTACTCAATGCCACTTATTTTCAATAATACTTCCACTATTTCAAATCAAAAATATATTTTTCCCATCCGCAACTAAACTATTACATTGCTCGTTATAATACAAATTTAAATTGCTTTTAAAATCATACATGACTCACTCATCTCCACTATATAAAAACACTTCAATTCAAACTACTAATTTGTCACACATACTTATACACACTTTCCTTTTTCCACCTATTCTATCCATTATCAATTCAAATCCATTCATAATTCTTCACACCCATTACTTCACTACTTATGTGTCTATTTATCCCTACTGCACATTCTCCGCTTTCAATGTGCACTAAAACCACATGTTTCATCTACTAAAAAACAAACAAAAATTATGCAGCTATATTTTTGTAATGCCTTTTCTACACCCAAACTTATAATAAATTATATGTGTTTCAAACAAAAAATAGTGATTTTGGTACCACAATTCCATACACAGAATCCTATTATATGAAATTCAATTAACTAATCAACCATGTTGACTATCAAATTCAACATTCATATCACTCATTTTTCAAACATACATATATACACTGTCCCTTTTTTACTTAATATATGCTTTATGCATTAAAGCCTTTTTCTAATACTTCACACCCATGAATTCACTCGTGTTCTGTTAAATTATCCTTACTGCACATTTTCAATATGCATTACAACTTCATGTTTATCCACTCAAATTCAAATATATATTATACCAAAAAAATTGAATTAACATTGTCTACACTCAATTTATTATACAATCCACTTCTATAATATTTTGTTTTCTTTCACGCCGCAAACGCTATTCATTCTCTCTTCTGCAAACATTTGGCTTCACCATTTTTACAGAAGAAGAGCTTTCAACGTTTCCGGTACCCACTCACACGAAACTGCTCCTTCACATTACAAACCCAACATATTACCAGCTTTTTTTCATCGTTTTCAAACATGCACAATCACAAATCACATTTTTACTAACATTCCTTCTAGAACTTCACATTTTAAGATTAATTGAGAACAAATACAGCACTTACGATTTCCGTCGCTTGTCTGTTCCTCTCTCGCATCATTCTCTTCTTCAACTTGCGCCATGCTCTTCACGAAATTCTTCCTTTCTGCGCTTCCACTTTCTGCACAGCACTCTTGGATACAGATGAATAATCAAACTTGTCTCTGCACTTTCCTACTTTAGCAGCTTCACATTAATGGCTAATTGGAAGGCGTGATTTCGGTATTGGTGTATTACGGCTTGCAATACCGGTTAATTGATTCGTTTTAAAAATGGTAAGAGAATCGATTGAATAATATGACCTTCAGCGTCCGAATCATTACAAGTGGTCATTCAAGGAAATAATTCTCTCAAATGCGGTCCACCGTATCTACAAAGGATATTTCCAAATAGACGTACGATTCATCCAGATCTACGTTTGGGATTCTTTCCCATTTTTCATGTTAGAGGGTGTTTTCATAGGATCTATTCCCTATATATATATATATATATATACACACACACGTATAACTTGTATATTAGTGTGTGTGTGTCTATGAACTTATAGTATATACGTAAGTATTTAAAAATAATATACTAATAACATGCATGCACGATCTAATACACGTATACAACGTAAGTATATACTTCGTATATATATAGATAAAAGATGAGGTTAGAAGTAGGGATGGCAACGGGGCGGATCGGGGACGGTTTTACATATAATCGTATTCGCCCCGTTTGGTAATTCCCCTTCCCCATAACCGTCCCATTACCCAACGGGTAATTTTTACCCAAACCATAACCGCCCTAACGGGTAACGGGTATAACCGCGGGTAACCGCGGGTAATCACTTTATTAAATGTGTCATTGGTATTTTAATATAAAAATAATGTTTTAAAAGGCAAAAAATGGCATCACCTAGACGACTCTAGACTCAAACGCCACTTTAAAGTTTTGCATATCTATAAGATGAGAAAAAAGACAACCTAAATGAGTTTGAATCTAAAAATACTTAATCTGAAAAATAATTAATCTCGAAAGAATCTTATAATAATCAAACAAGACTATTAAGATCTATTATGAACTTTCGTTCGTACACTAGAATTAGTACATTTGTCATTGATATATACACAGTGAAAATAGAAAATTCTCATCTTTTAGTTGTGGGACAACTAATAGATGAGAATGTAATAAAAATATAACTAAAAATAAACGGGGCGGGTACGGGGCGGGTACGGAGCGGGTAATGGGGCGGACATGTATAAAACCGTAACCACCCCGTTACCCGTAAAAACAAAACGGGTATTCCCCGCCCCATACCCGTTACCCGGTCAATGCGGTTTTCCCCGGTTTGACCGGGGCGATTCGGTGCGGGCATCCACCGGATCGGTCACAATTGTCATCTCTAGTTAGAAGCCCCCTTAAAATGGAAGCGAGAAGTAATCTCAGCCTTTGTATTTGCATCTAATCTTACAACGCAGCAAACTTATAGACTGAATATAGGAACTTATAATCAATAAATCATAACTTATAAAGCTCTCTATCGTAATTACAGAAATGCCACCACGTCCAAAAATTTCCAAGGTCTCCAGACTTATTTTTTTGCGGTGGCATGTTCGTAATTATTTCGAGGTGTCTATAAGTTATGATTTATTGATTAAAAGTTCATGTTTTTCAGTCTATAAGTTAGCTTCGCAGCTCTCAGTCTAAGGACACTTCTCACCTGACCCGCTCCATATATATATATATATGTATATGTATATATGCGTGTGTCTATATATATATATATATATATATATATATATATATATATATATATATATATATATATATATATATATATATATATAGACACACGCATATATACTTCTAATTAACAAATATGTAATAATTGATTGATTAATATTATATATGTATGATATGTAGTATATGTACTGTGCTCCATGTTACGTGTGCATATGTGCTCCATGTATATGAGTTGATTATGTGAGTTTACGAATATATATTTTAAATGATTTTAGTATAACTAATTCTTTGATTTTATGAATTATTTAAATTACTATAAGTACTAATGTTAAATAATCCGAGTTTATATTTTCTGAAAATCCTTGCGGTTGGTCTGACACTCTGACGTGGATACTTCTGTTCTGTTTAGTGTACTACGTACACTCCTGAAATTTCTTTTTAGAGGAATAAGTGTTCTTCTATTTAGTGTACTCCGTAAACTACTCCTGAAATCTTTTTAGAACATTATTACTCTCCTGTTAAGGATCGGGACTCTTCGGTGATCTGGTCCTTTCTGTTCAGCTAGCTTCTGTTAGGGATTGGTACGTGTAGCTCCGACGATTATGTTTCCATATCCTTTCTGGGTAATGTGGGTACATACTTCATGACTGTATTCCTTGCCGTTAGTATTCCTCTGTCTAGGTACAGTTTCTTTAGTACAAGGCTAAGTAAACTAATATGTCTGATTAATGATACATTTTAAAAATATGAATTATCTGATAGTCAGATATCTGAACTTGTTCTGTTCTGTATATGAATATTCTGAAATACATGAAAGTTTATCCAGTTCATTCAGGTATGTTTATTTGTTCTAATTAATGATCACATGTTAATTATGATATGTTATTATATGCTTTGATATGTTATATGTGTTATTACCGT